TCCCAGGCAAGATAGAGAAGGATGGTACAAAACTGCATCACACTAACCAAATCAATGCACAATTTGAATTTATTAATTATTTGATTTTTTTCCATTAAATCTTTTTAATGGACACCTGCATTAGGTACTTTTTCTCATTGTCAGCATAAAACATCTGGCAAAAGCCACTTTAGGAAGGGTTTGTTTTGGCTCACAGTTTTAGGGTATTGTCTATCATGGAAGGGGCAAAGTGGTGGCAGGAGCCAGAGGCAGCTAGTCACACTGCATCCACAGTCAAAACGCAGAAGGCTGGAGAGATGGCTCCATGGTTAAGAGCACTGGCTGCTCTCATAGAGGACCCAGGTCCAGTTCCCAGAGCCCACATAACAGCTAACGATACTCAGTAACTCCAGTTCCAGGGAATCTGAAGCCCTTTTCTGGCTTCTGCCAGTATTTCATGCATGAAAGCAATTACATACATGCAGGCAAAACATTTATACATATAAAATAAAAATAAAGCAAAAATTAATGTTTAGAAAAGCAGAGAGAAATGAATGCTGGTGTTCAGCTCTTTTTTTCCTTTTTATTCAGACCAGGACCCAATCCACAGGATGGTATCATTCACATTCAGGATAGTCTTCCCTCCATAGTTTAACGTTTCTGAAAATACCTGTATAGATACCCAGAGATGTGTTTCCCTGGTAATTCTAAATCTCATCAAAGTGACAATGAGTATTAACCATCACAGTATGGAAAGTGAAACCTCAGATAAGGAACCATTGCACAACTTTTTATGTACTCTTCTAAAGCCACCCTAGAATGGACATGCCATTTGTCTCTGTTTAGGACTGTCAGTAATAAACAAAAATCTCTGCTCTCTTAGAGCAGGTGGTCACAGGGAGGACAGACATTATCACTCAGACAATACAGAAGAAGATAAGTGCTGTTTAAAACTATAAAGCAGTAGAGAGGAGTGACAGAGTGTGCAGAAAGGGATTCTAAATAGGTGGAGAGGGAAAACTTCACTAACAAGGTAATATTTGAGAACAGGCTCAATGAGGGTGAAGAGCAGAGCAAGTGATTCATGCAGCAAAAACTAAGAAATTCGAGGTCTCACCCTAGTTCCTGTAACATAACCTACACACCTCAAAAATGAATTCACACGTGAATTAGTGAGTCCTTTAATCACGATAGAGAACAGAAGATCAAGAAGTATTCTAACCAGTAAGAGAGGTTGCCGTTCTTGAAGACATACTGAATCTGTGTGCTCCTGAAGGCAGCTGAGAACAGGAGCTCAGAACAATAGTGGGCAATGCTGCCTGGAAAGCCTATGTAGTCACAACAGACTAGATTCTTGGGAACACCACATTTTACAAGTATTTATGATGAAGTCCTCTGGGAGACTGAGAAGCTGGTGTCACAGAAGCCAACAGAGTTGAGTCACAGTGAAATGAAGGAAAAATCCAAAAGGGGAAAGAGTGGAGTTTCTCTTTTGATCGGGCAGACTATTTCTGCTAGCCTTTGCCTCAGAACTTTCAGCAGAAAGAAAGAAGACAGCAGGTCCCCCAGAGTTGAGGTATAATTCAGAGGTGATTCATGGAGGCATTGTGAACACAACCATCTTTCTAAGAGCTTAATGGACAAAGTAAGAAAGAGGCAGAGCACAGCTAGTGAAAGAGGAACTTAGAGGATTGAGACTATGGATAGTCAGGATGGACAAGTCCTGAGCACCTCACCTTGCTTAAGTAAGAGTTGATCAAGAGTGAAAGCTACTGCCAATGAATAGGAAGACAATATCCTTCCTGAGACTGAAGATGCAGGCTCTAGTGGCCTTGGGAGACAACAGAATCTCTGCTATGGTCATGGGAGGGAATGAAAGTGGAATAAAAGCCAAAGTCACGAAGGGTGACTTTCAAGTTTCAGTAGAGATCTAACAGACCATCACAAAAAGCAGGACTTGGGACAGAGATGCTGTGACCCAATTTAAAATAATTATACATAAAAAACATGAGAACTTCATGTGCATTTATTGTCTGAAGGCCTCTGTTTACCTGTTACAATCCTAAGAGATGTTTATTAGTTACTATTCCCAGAAAATAGCCTTTCATTTTTCTGCTCTTATTTTATTCCTCAACCTAGAATTTCTTTCCCATTCACATCATACTTTTAATAAGCTGAATCATCTCCCCAAAATTCAGATCCAGTTGGAACCTCGAATAGTACCACATTGAGAAATAGTCTTTGCCAGTGTAATTAAGCTGAGCGATCACTCTGGATTTAGGGTGGACCTTAAATCCAATAACTATCAACCTTCTAAGAAGGGGAGGAGACACATAGAGGCACTGAATGGCATGTCACGTGAAGACAGTTATGCAACCACAAGCTAAGGAATACAAAGAGACACCAAGCTAAAAGAGGAAAGGAAGGATTCTCTCCTGGAACCTTCAGAGGAGTATGGAACCTGAATCCAGGACCTCACGCATTCCAGGCAATCAGTACCACAACTGAGCTACGCTCCAGACTACTACCTAACATCCCAATTTCTGGCTTAACACTACAAGCTCTTCTGACATATTATGAAGCTCAACTTTCATTTTTTTTTTCTTAATTTTTGGAAGTAGGAACTTAAACCACTAATTTATCTTCCATGATGAAACTCCTGTCAAGAAGTGATCACTCTCCTGCAAACACGGCGTTTCTTCAAGGCAAGCCCATATCCCATGGATCTTTATATCATCACATCACAAAACATTAGTTGTTTCATGTTAGATAATGAAGGGTTGGTGGCAGTCTGAGCCTTTGGAGTCATACGTCTTTTCTAAATATGTTGTTTCCATGAAGGCAATGACACCAGTCTTTTATGCTGCATCTTCATAACATTCCACAATATGTCTTAGGACTAAGGAACAAAGCATTTAATTTAATATTAAGGGAATAACTCCTCATCAACTTAATATCTTCATCAATAGGACCTAATACACTAATCTAGAAATGATTCTTCACTTAAAGAGAAAAGACCAGCTCTAACTGCTGGAGTTTTTAAGTTTACTGTCTTGACCTGTAGACCCTCACAAGCCTCATCTCTACAGGGAAAGGTAACACAACCATTATTCCAAGTCACCCTTGAACCCAATAAAGAGAACTGCAGTCCTTGTGGTTACACTCATTTACCCTGCCAACAAAAGCCCATCAAATAGTCATAATTTTGCAAGTGATAGCCCTCATAAAATACATTAGTGTCATGCCTCATCATGCTCAAGATGGAAAATTAGGAGACAGATGACCAAATAGTATTTTGTTTCACCAATGAAAACTACTAAGAAACTACGAGGTTTAAAACCGGATACTCTTGCAGACATCTCCTATGTACCAAGCAATAATGTCCAGTGACCTCATTACCCTAGCCCTACCCTGGGACAACCTGACACCTGCAAAGCAGAGCAGCCATGGTCTCTCCCACCACACAGGCTAACACACTGTCCTCCTAAGTTTAACAGCTTGATAACAGTTTCTCCTCTGTTTTGGGAGAGTTTTCTCTTTTTTCCTATCGCTCACATCTATGCAAACTTAACATCAGAGAGTACTGTGTTCATATCATCACTAATACCTCCTCTTTTCCCACTCAATTTAGTAAAACACCCTCTGGGTTGCTCTAGAAGTGGAAGTGCTAGGCTTCTGGGGCTCCAATTTTAGAAGCTCAAGGTGCTTTAAACAGCAGGTGCTAATTGCATAGTATGCACACACAAAAGAAATGAAAACTAAAGGGTCTCTGGGCAAAATTAAACATAAAGAATCAGCACTTGCAAAGTTCACCTTTATAAAAACGGTCAAGAGCGCTTTTAAAATTCTATTACTGGGAGTGCTAATTAAGCTTATTTTTCCTCAATCACCACTGATATAAAACAGCATTGCTATTTTAACGTAATGATTCACCTTTGTGTGTACAAGCAGCCCTTCAGCTTTGACTTGCGTGGGGTCACCCTGCCCAATGTCTCCCAATTGTATAGCATGTCAGCTTCCTTATAGGTTAAAATTGGTTCTTTGGGCTAATCTAAACACTAATTATGAACATCTATACCCCATAACTTGGGCTGACTTTACAGACAGAACAGAATGGTTTTATGTTTCCATGTCTAGTTTGTAACTTAAAAGGTTCAGAAAAAAATGCTTCTTCACCTTGGGTTTTCAAAACACAGGATAACATTTAAATTAAAGTCAAAAGTAGCTTTGGGTAAGTGAAGAGGTTTGTATAAGCGGCTGGGGCAGAAACTATGCTCAGCCAGTGTGGATGTCCCTTTACAGGGTGGTTTCATTTTGTTAGACTTTTGAACAAGAAACTTTCAAACAGTGACCTTTTCCCATTCTATGACAATGGCACATGGAGTTTGTTTTTCACTGGCAGGAAAGCAGTTGTTTCTAGTTTCATTCACACGTACTTAGTTAAAATAGGCTGTGAACCACATTCCAACATTTTCCACTAAGTCGCCTCTAGATGAAGGCCTGAAATATTTCTACTGCAAATTGCAGCATGTTTCTTAAAAAAAAAAAAAAACAGCAAAAAACCCCTTTAAATCAATAAATGATACATTTTAGTAACCACAAATTTGTGATGCAATGATGCAATAATCTTTAGGGACAGCATTAAGAGTTTCTAGACAGCCTGAAGCAGTTCTGCAAGAATCCAAAAACCTGGGGGGCCCAGTGATGGACTGCAGAAGCGTGTGCAGGCCTGTTTTGTAAAGGGTTTATTCATCAGCTAAGGACTCGAAAGTTAGATTAAAACTTAATCAGCTTGGAGGACGGACTGCAACTTCCGCCTTTGCATACACCTCCCCTACTGGGCTCCACGTTTCCTTTGGAGACTCCCGCCTAGAGTGACTTGGGTGGGGTTACACTGGGGCGGGAGCAGGCAGTGGCGGGAGCGTCCCGCCGGTGGCGCTTTTTCTGTGCAGGGAAGGAGCAGGCCGGGACAGCAGGATGCGGCTGGCGGGGGGGCGGGGGGGGGCGAGGGCCGCACTCACCCGCCGGGCGCTCCGGCTGGATGGGCCGCCACCTCAGGACCCGCTGGCCCAGCACCACGTCGCAGCTGTCCCTCCCGATCTGGAAGATGCCCCGGAGCAGAACACGCTCTGCCGCCACCTCTGTTCCCAGCGGAAACCCGACCGCCGCGCTGGGCCCAGCGGCCACCTGCCGGGACGCCTCTTCCTCCCCGACGCCCAGGACGCCCACCCGGCTCCCGCGTCTCCCCCGGGACATGACGGGCACGAGCCTCAAGGCCGGGAGGGCTCTGAGGGAGGCGGAGGCCGGGACAACCACCGCCCGGGCCGCGTCCCGCGCTGCCACAGCAACGGCGCAGGAGGCAGACGCCGGAAGGGAGGCGGGCGCGCGGGAGGGGCCGCTCTCTGAGGAGTCCCCATCTTTCCCTACCAGCCTGGGCCTCTGCCACTCACTAGGGGTGGAGGGAAAAGGGGCTCCCTCCGTTAGGCCCCAGCTGCTCAATAGGAGTTCACTTCCGGAATGTGTAACCCAGCGCTCCTCAAACTGGCTTGCATAAGTATCCCTTGACATTTTATACAGATTCTTATTGGAAAGGTCTGGAAGGGGACCCCAAATACTGCATTTCTAAGTTACTCTTCCCTGGGTGATTGCAGAAGCTGCTGGCCCTGTGCTACAGAGTGGAAGGCTCCTTCAACCTTCCCAGGGGTCTCCCCTGGGAGCCTTGGAAGTGCTTTATCCCTGGATCTACGCATGTTCTTTGGGGAGCATTCCCCCAAACCACGGATTTGCACAGACAAATGTACACCTTACAGTAGCTGTTTATTTAGAGTCCTACCTTACCCCAACATACTCCCTCTTCAGATTCAGCTTTGCCTGCCTGGATCTGGTACTGCTGGCGTGCAAGGAGTGGGGCTTTCTCACCAAAAAGCAACCTCTGTAGAGTAATGTGGATACCTGGGGTTCTTGAACTTAGCTGCTAATTTGAAAAGCTCAGAGAGTTAGAAGGCTGGTGGTTCTCCATCCTGACTGCATACTGGAGTTACCTGGTTTCGTTTTTGTTTTAATCCAGTTGTCTAAGCCACACCTCGAAGACAATTGGAAATGGGGCCCAGATTTCAGGACTTTTTGATGTTCCCCACATGAGTAATATTTAGTCAAGACTTAGAATCCGTGCTATGAGTAGTGTCACAGCACCAAGGCTGACAATTTGTGGTGGGAAGCAGGCAGACAGAAGGCAACTGAGACCTTAGGTTGAAGCCCACTAGAAGTAAAGGAAGACTTTTACAAGGCTGTCATAATGCTATGGAGGAAAAAGTCAGGTGTTGAAGCATTTAACTTCATGGTCTGGTAAATCAGGGCCTGGCCTGCTAATGCCTAAAAGCTTCATCACATAGCCACTTTCATTCAGTCCTCCTGGTCACCCTGCAGTCAGAAGAGCTAACTGGAGAGGGGTTTCTCTAGGCCCTCAGCTCAGACTATCTGTTGGCCTAGCCAAATTGTTTTCAAACAGAGCTTCAGTGTATCAGGTAAGCTGGGACTCTTCCTGTTCAATGCTCTGAGAGCAAATACTCATTCTTCCAGGGCAATCAAAGAATAGCCTCAATTTGATCTGATTGCAGTTAGTGAGCTTTTTCTTGGAACAGAAGTACAGCTGCGGATGAGCCTCAACATTGGCTTCAGGTGGCTGCTCAGCAGGCAGAGGTGGGGGGTGGTGCCCTTCTCAGGAGGAGCTTCAGTTCTAGAGTGGGCATCTCGTATTCACAGATGTCAGCAGTCCTCACAGATTAGAACTCTTTGGCATTTTCAAAGCTCATTGAGAGCCAGAACAAACAGGCCAAGGCAATGGCTACTTCTTGGGACCTTTGCAAAGGGGTGGGTTGCCATTTTTCAGGCTTTTGTCAGACTAGGAGTTGCAAGTACCAGCCTTGGCTTGCCTTGAGGATGGAAATAACAAGATCTGTGTTCCATTCTTCCTATTTGATGAGCTTCCCTCTGCAAGGGTTCTAAAGATTTCTCTGCCTCGGAGCTCAGTCCTTGGGATCTGTCTAACACACATGCCTGCAAACCTCCCCTCCCACCCCTACCCCCATAAATCACTTCCATCCTTTACCTACTGGCCAGGACTCCAAAGGTGAAGTCATCAACTCCAGCACTGTTCTGAGCTTCAGATATTATGTTCCAATTACCCACCTGCCACCTCTACTTACTTGCCCATTAAATGTCCGAGGCATATCTAAAACAAAGCTCACGATTTTCCATCACAAATATGTTCCTCCAAGAATATTTCCAACCAACAGTGTTAGAATCCCTCTCACTTTTATTTGTTTCATACCTCCCACCAAAACCACACACACACACACACACCTTGCCTTGATGATTCACTCCTGTCAGCCTTATCCAATGGACATCTTCACTCCCTTGGCATCCCCCTTCTCTTTGTATTGGAACTTTCTTGCCAGAGGCTATGCTCTCCATAGAAGTTGCATGTCTGCTTTTAAAATGAAAAAAGCACATCAATACCCTGCCTAGAACCTTCCAGTGCTGTTCAAACTGTGCTGGTTGAATGAGAAATGTACTCCACAGGCTCATGTGTTTGAACACTTGGTCCCCAGTTAAGTTGTTTGGAAAGGTTATGGAGCCTTTAAGAGGTAGAGCCTTACTGGAGGAAATACTCACTGGGGGCTAGCTTTGAGGGTTTATAGCCTTGCCCTACTCCTGTTTCTCTCTCTCTCTCTCTCTCTCTCTCTCTCTCTCTCTCTCTCTCCATTCTGAGGTAGAGGCAGGGGATCTCTGCGTGGGGGCAGGTGATGGTCTGCATGGGAAGTTCTAAGCCAGTCAGGCTATACAATACTCTCTCTCTCTCTCTCTCTCTCTCTCTCTCTCTCTCTCTCTCTGTGAAAATCTGATGAGCCAGCTTCCTGCTTCTGCCACCATGCTTTCCCTGACTAGTGTCATGGCTGCCCCACCATGATAGACTCTATCCTGCTGGAACAGTAAGCCAAAATAAATCCTTTCTTCCCTAAGTTGCTTTTGTCAGAGTATGCTATCACAGACACAGAAAAAATAATAAATACACTTCCCATTATTCTTGGAATACAATCAAAATGCTCATCAAGATACAGGCTCTCCACAATCTGGCCTCAGTACCTCTTCAAGGTGCTTATCAGCCCATTCCCTCTTGCTCACTCACCCATAAGCCATCTGGCTAGTCCTCAGACACTAGGAGCATCATCCCTTCTCCGAACGCTAGCCCTTGCTCTGCCCTCCACTATAATGCACCCCTTAGCTAATAACCAGATGGCTCATTCACTTTGCTCACTATTCTGTATAAGGGTCACCTTGTCAAGAGTCCATGCCTGAGTATCCTCCATAATCTACCATCCTATATCACTGAGTATGAGCATCCTACTGCTGTTATAACCACAAGCTGGTAATTTGAAATGAAACAAATGTATTATCCTGCATTCCTAAAGATCAGAAATCCTAAATCAGTTTCACTGAATGAAAACCAAGGTGTTAAGGCTAGTTATGTAGTACAGCTGATAAAGTACTTGCTTAGCATGTAGGCACCCCAGGTTCAATCTCCTGCACCACGTAAACTGAGTGTGATGGGACACACCCATAATTCCAGCACTCAGACAGGGAGGTGGAGACAGGAGGATCAGAAAGCAAATATCTTCCTTGGTTTCATAGTGAGTTCAAGAACACCCTGGGCTGTATGTGACTGACTAAATAAAAAGAAAATTAAGATGTCAACAAGCCTGCCACTTCTTGGGAAAAATTTACTGCTTGCCACTTCCAGCTTCTAGAGGTCCCCCGTATTTCTTGTCTCCCAGTCCCTTCTCCTTCCTGACAAGTCAGATGTTTACTATCTCTGTACCACCACCCATGGAGCTGCTGCTTTCTTTATCTGACTTTGACCTTTCTCCTTCCCTCTTACAAAAAAATGTATGATTCCATTTGGGCTGCCAGATAATCCTTAACTCAATTGCATTTGCAAAGTCACTTTTGCTACAGAAAATAACATAATCGCAGGTTCTGTTCTGAGGATTAGGGCACACACATCTTCAACCTGTTGTTAATCTTTCCACCATACTATTATTTTTCTTTACGGAAATTACTATTATCTATACTACATTCTTGAAGATTTGTTTCTTCGTGTATTGTCTAACTTCCTCATTGAATGAGGATGCACTTAGTATCAGGATTAAGGTATAAGAAATACTAAACAGACATCAAGTTGTAGCTAATGTTAACAGTAGGGCATTTACTTTGTTCACCACTGCGTTCTCAATATTTAGTATAGCTCCTGAGACATAGTAAGTGCTTGTCACCAGAGTTCTCTCTGGGTCTCTTGCACTTTCAGGCAAACCATATAACATATCTTTATGTGCATTTATTATCGTGGGGGGGGAAGTAACTTACAAAGGAATGAGCACCCAGTGCCTAACCCCACAATGCTCAACTCTGGTGGCACCTCCAGTGGCACGGCTCAGAGCCCGCCATATCAGACCAATCCCACGCTAGTCACCTCTAGCATTCACTCATGCTTCAGGGGCCAGCGATCTTGCCCCAGGTCCACAAGTGTCAGGCCATTCTGTCCTTGAGTATGCCAGGCTGCTGCATGTTCCCCATGTACAAAAGTCACTCCAGGATTACTTGCAGCTGGCCACTCCTGTCCCAAGATGGCACCACAAACCCTCCTTCCATGGCTCACTCTGTCTAGTCCATTCTCCTCAGCAGGCCCTGCCCCTTGGAGGAACCAAAACCCTTGGGGAACACACTCCACCCCTTTCCTCCGCTCTTACAATCTTTCCGTCAATTTTCTGCTAAGGTCCCCAAGCCTTGGAGGGGATGACAGATGTAGGCCTTATCCAATTAGAAATTTGTCAGTTGTACGCATGTTGGTCGAGCCATTATTGCACTTGCAGGTATTGCTTGGTATGTCCATAGTGTGCAGCACATGGGGTCCATCATTGAGTAGAATTGTAGGGGATCCTTTCTTCCCCAACCATCTGCATAAATATGAATGTCATCCATCCAGTGGCATGGAGATTTTTGGCTTAGTCTCAGTTCCATCTCTTCTTCTTCTCCTGTGCTCACAACATGTGCTGTCTTCAACAACATGGACTTATTGACCTTTCTAGTGTACAACCAACATTAATGGCAATAGCCTTGGTGAATTAGAGGACTTCTAGGATCTCTCTGACCAACAGCTTATTGAGGGGCAACCCACCCCTGGTACTGTAGATTTTCTTAACAGTTGTATAGTTTGGGAGTCTCTGTCTTTATCTTACCCAACCATAAAACTGCCAAGAATCTTATAGCTATAGCTGGCCTTTGCTTCTTCAGGTATCTTTCAAATGGGTTTCACATCTGTAAAATGCTCGAAGGAACATTAATA